ATGCCAATTATCAGACAATATCACATCTTATTGATATATTGGTCACCCACTATATATATATATAACATAGATATTTTGTGTTCTTAGAAAAAATTGTAGGCTAACACCTTGCATTAATGTTTTACATGTTATCATTAGTTAATGCATTAGCCAACAAGAACTGACAATGAGCAATGTGTTTTCATAGCATATTAATCTTTGTTAATGTGAGTTAATAAAAACACAATTGTTCATGTTAGCTTTCAGTGGATTAATGACAACGTCCAACGTTTGCTTTAAAAGAAAATAATAAGTAAATGTTAAAATGAAAATTAAGATTAATAAAGGATGCTAAAGTATTGCTTATTGTTAGTTCATGTTAATGTACTTAACTAATGTTAACAAATCAGACCTTATTGTATGAGGATGAGTAAACAACAACACATTTTTTTATTTTAAGGTGAATTATCTCTTTTACCTCACAGATGAGGCTCTGACACACTATAAAAGCCATTTCACAGATAAACAACAAAATGTGACCAAGGGCAGGATATTTTGGCATCATCCTTTAAATCTTCTAAAAACCTCTAAATCTTTAAGCTAGTCACTCCAACTAACTGTGCTACAGGGAGAAAAATCAGTGTTTATTCCAAACAATCTGGTTTGACTGAGGAAAATTACTCAAGATCAGATCTTTCCTCTAGACAGACATTAAAAGATGTCCTCCCTCTAACAGACTTCAGCATCAGATATAAGATCTGTAATGTCTGAGGAAGTCGATCATGGCAGTTAGTCAGGCCTGTAACCCTACAATTATTATCCTGATTATTCAGATGACTTTCAGCCACAGCTATACGTCTGGCTATAAGCGATGAGATTAAAAATAACTCATCTGCAGCCCTCACAAGTCAGTGTTTCCAGCCGAAGGGTTTCGCTGTCAAGATGTGACATGCTCCTCTTTGGCGTTGATCAACCCACCCTGTGGAGAAGAGACCAACACTGGGCACAACGCTTCATAGAGACTTAACGCAGCTCCTGGGTAATGGACAACAGACAACACTGTTCATCTAAAACCATCCAAGATTATGTCTCGACAGCTAATGTAATCCCAGCCACAGTCACAATAATCCCAACAACACCTGGAATATGAGATTTATGAAAAGATAAATCTGTGTGACACATTATTACTGCCAGACAAACAGTATTACGATCAAATATGTGTTTTGTGTTACTGCCTGAAACAAATGAGTCCGTGAAATCACTCGCAAGCGAAATCCGAGAAAGCGGTGGCTTCCCCAGCAGCTTTCCCACCAGCAAGTGCTTCATAAGAGACAATAAATGCCAGTCCCTATCAAATAACAGCCATCAGATAGCATTTCTACAGTTAGTATTGTATTGTGTCTGAACTTCCCCTTCTCAATTCAGTTAGCTACCGCCCTTAAACAACCACAATAGTCTACATCAAATGGCAAATGTACACTGCAAAGGTGGCGCAGAAACGCTTCTGAAGTGGCAATTGTGTGTCTTTACACATACTGTTTAATGCTGCTTAGAGGTGGCATAAATACAGTTACGCAGCATTTTTAACTAAATACTTTTACACTAGGGGCTAAGGTGGTCAAGTGGAATTTGCTCATATTCAAATCATATGAATATATTAAAATATAAAATAAATAACAAAAATATTAAATATATATAAAAAATACATTTCCACAGGTATATGTCTATAGCTTTAACAAGAAGATCTTAAAGAGACATTGTAAACATTGTCAGTGCCGCTGATACATCTCAGAAGTATATTTTGGATAGTTTTAAGTGACAGCACACTAATTTGTAATTTTGACAATGCTTTTAACCAATCAAGTTTCCCAATACACTAATTTTGGTGACAGTCAATCTTGGAATAGGTACAATGTTGTTATTAAATGGATTGACGCCATTCGAAGTTCGAAACCTAAAAATTACAGCAACACATGGTTATACTCTACAAAGAAAGGTCCCAATGGAAGGTGACCAGACACTGGACCATGCTTGACCATTTACAAAACCCATGTTAAATTCACAAACTGCTTCTTACCAGAGCCGTAAACACCACAGCCATTCCCAAAATCTGATACTGTCTTGATGTTTCTCTGCTGTGTGTTGTTAGGATGAAACAAGTTTAATATGTTACATTTTTAGGATGGTCTGCCTCGACTGGTCTAAAAGTGCTCGTCAAAATCCATCAAAGGAAATTTGTTTCGTCCCCTCAATGTTCAAGACATGGTTTCAGTCTTGTTTTCTACCAAGTCACTAAGACATGAAAGTGTTGTTTATAAGAAATAGCAATTCAAACGGGCTGACCTGAGCTCTTATATTCACCACATTTCGGTGACTGTGTCAGAAAACATAGTAAGCTGTCTACTTAGAGAGCAAGTTTAGGGATTAAATAAGTGTTTGAACTCATTCGTGATGTCAAAATAGCACTGTCTAGATAGGCAGCACACTAGATTTTGCAACACAGCCTGAGAGTCATGGAGTATTTCCGCCGATCCTGACGGATCCATCTAAACCGGAGAGCAGCTCCACACTTCACCGACAATGAAAAGCAAGTTGGCAGTGACTCAAAGCAATAAACATGCACAATGAAGACCTGAATGGGCTCATACCTGAATGCAGGGTGAAAACATTGATTCCTGGATCCAGCATGATGTTCGCTGCAGCGACAGCAGCGGCAGTTCTGCCCGGTGGAGTCCCTGTGATGTTGCTGCCGCCGCCACCGTCTCGGGGTCTCCTCCCGGAGCTGCTGGCCCGGTTCGATCTGCCCTGCTGCTGTTGCCCCTGCGGTGGGGTCTGGATCCCCGCGGAAGCCCCTTCTCCCACGCGGCCTACCTGTTGTCCCATCCTGCGAGTGTTCTGGGTGGGAAAATAACACAGATCCGTGGAAAGACCCGCCGTCCGTTTGGACCGCTCACATCCCCCAAAGAACGACCCGCGGGACGACGGCCTGATCTGTTCGGGATGATAGTCTTCCCCTTCTTGGTCACCCCTTCTCTTCCTCCTCTACCGGACCGGACCGAGCTCCGTTAGCTTAGCTTAGCAATCTGTGTAACGATATGTGTGTGCGTGTGTGTATGAGAGAGAGCGAGAGAACCCACCCACCACCACCTAACAGCTAACAACGCACAGTCTAATCGTTCAATTCTACCAAACGGCACCGGATAAGCGGCTCTGTTAAACGGAAATGTACTATCCTCCTGCCCCCAGCGCTGTTTCTCTTAAAGCGGACCCGTCTGGGGTCGTTCCGTTCTGCTCCAGCCGCTGCGCGTCCCCTCCGCAGCCGCCATCTTTACCGCAGAATCAGTGGCGTGCGCTGCACGAGCCAATGACGGAGAGCGCAGCACCATCATCGCGGTGATGCCAAAGATCCTCTCTTTTTAATACATGAATATTAACATAAGCAAAATTAAGAGAATTGTTCATTCATTATGTTCAGTGAATAATATCTTAAGGTCAATAACTGAGTAATGTAAACAGTACAATAATAAAAACAAAAAGGTGTTATTGAAGTGTGTTAATAAAGCAATATAAAGCATAGAATGCTACCTCACTTATATCAATATCATATTCAGTAATATGTTTTGATAGCAGGGTTATTTTAGTTAACTAAAACTAAAACCACTGAAAATTTTTTTACTTAAAATAAACAAACGGATATAAATTAAATTGTAATAGAACTTCTGTGAGATACTGTGTGTATATATATATATATATATATATATTAACATGTATTTTATTTTAACGCATTTTATTTCAGTTAGTTGCCAAAGCAACATTTCTTTTTAGTTTAACTTATTGTCCTAAAATAACTAAAAAATAAACTAATAAAAATAACAAAATGAATACAGCTTCCAACTAGAAAGTGGACAATATAAAACTAAAAATGAATTAAAAAATATTAATAAATAATCCTAATATAGCAATAATCTATGTTTTGCTCTTAATTTAATAAATTGTTAGCTTTACCAACAGCAGTGGCAAAATATAGGCTACTAATAGTCTTAATATTAAAATAATAATCTTTAATTTCTGCAACATAATTTCATCTGTAAAGAAATAGGCTAATATTTTAATTCACTTTTCAAGTTTGATTTTACGTGGTCAATTCACATGAAACATATTAGCCTGATATACTGATATCTTATCAATACACAACATGGTAGATAGTGCATACAAGCAAACCACTATAGTCAGTTAAACTGTTTATTTGTCCATTACAGAGCATGTTGGTACAGGCTACGCACTGAACATTTCACAAGATAAAAGTTATTCATTTAAAAATATGCCATCGGTTTAGATTATTCCAAAATATTTATAACTTTTTTGTGATGAAAAAACAGTCATCGACTATTCTAGAAATTACAACAGAACATTTACATGGCAGGTGCCATAAAGAAACGAAATCTAAAATGCTGTGTGCAGATAAACAGTAGTCCTAACATTCAACTCTCACCATCACCACCTGCTGGTCATCACAGTTATTGCAGGTATGGAAAGGAAAACTTGAAATTGCATCATATGACCCCTTTAAAATATAATACAATCTCAAACATCTTGTGGGATTGGATAGATTATTCACTCAAAACTATTTTTTGCACTAATAAATGCCGTAGACTTTATTATTACTATTTTTTTTTTAAATAAATCCCCTGCATGTCACTGTACATAATAATTTATAACCAACAAAGGGATTGTGCTTGAAAACCATTAGTAATAATGATCACGAGTGCAGCCAGCTGCAAAACCTTAACACTTCCAAAAATCTGATACCCTATTTGGTAATAAATAAGTCCTAAAGCATGGTTTTAAATTAGTATCTAATTAGTTTAGCTCTAGGGAAAGAAAGAAAAAAAACAAACATGAAGTCCAAATTTCCAAAGTCCAGACTATCAGTCCAACTCTTCAAACAGTAACTAAAGTAAATAAAACTGGCAGAAAGGAGAATTTGCCCCAAATCAAAGTCATTTTAATTAAAACTCTAGGAGTAAAATGTAATTAGTAAACTATTTTTGTGTTTCACAGCAGTATGGCACATAATTTAAATCCACTGGGGTTTTAGAATTCACAACCCCGCTTGTAAACATTCTACAATTTTGTGTAGTCCAGGTTAAAATGTACCACATGTATAATCTTCCATGGCCTCTCCAGTACTGGAATAACACCACAATATCAAACACTATCTAAGCAGTGGCAGTAAACAAAACACATTTACTGTATAATCTGATCTCAACTCAACTTCTCAACATCACAGATGCTTCTAAAAATAGAATCTCTTTAGCCAGATCAGACATAACCTAAAATAGATTGTCAAATGCTAACTAGGAATTTGAAAGGAAACAAAGACATTTTCATAATGCACATTATAGACATTCTACATTCTATTATGGATGTTATAATAAATATGAAATATATAAGGCCTCTTCATAAAACATTGTCCTCATGATTATAGAGTAAGCTTGTCACTTTTCACTTCATTTGGTCAGAGTGCAATACCTATAGAATGCTAAAAAAAAAAAAAAAGTTCCAGAATACAGAACAAATCTGATTCATCTGAAGGCTGGTGGTGTGGCTTTAGTGAGCATCTACAGCAGTGTTAGTCTGTGGAGTACAAGTCCAGGATCGAGGCTTCAGCAAGTCTAGGAAAGAAGGCTGAGGAAACAAAAAGAAACCATGAATATATGAATAAATTCACAAACTAGATGAACCTACCAAGAACATGCACTTTGTTTACCTCTTGAATGGGGCAGAAGCGCTGCGCGTACCACTCCTGAGAGTACAGGCAGATGAGAACACCCTGACCCAAGAACAGTGCAGTCCACATGATCACGTTCCAGATTGGCCCTTTTCTCCGGTCGTTAAGAACGAAGTTAAACACCACTAAATAGAAACATGAGTGCATTAGAGACTTTCATATTCAGGCTCTGTTATGTCATATAAAATAGAGTAATTTTAACCGAAGCTTAAACCAATGTCTAGGTGGTTATCTGGCATCCCAGCCTGCCCAAGCTGGTTAAATTGGTCTGTTTGGATGGTTTTTGGTAGACCAGCTGCTGACCAGCTAAACGCCAGCTTGGTCAGCTGTAAAACCAGCTTAAGCCAGCTAAGACTATCTGTTTTTTTCAGCAGGGACATGCTCTTGTAATAAATGAGATTCTTACTTCCAAAGCACATGAAGAGGCAGAACATGACGGGATAGAAGAAGCCAAAGCAGATGGCCAGAACGTACTCGTGCACCACAGCAGACACAGTAAAAACAACCAACATGGCCGCTGCACGGAATCGCTTCTGTGTCATCTGTAGATATGGATGATCACACTTGGTTTAGCTTGATGCACATTTGGACACAATTTCACACAAATTCCAGAGTTCACGCAAATAAACCAAAAACAGACTGTTTATTGAAATACAGCACAACATAGGGCCATCGTCAAGGTCCAATCTGAAACACTGCTTACACCAATGAATTTCAGTGATTCCTGGTTGATTTTTGTAAAGAGTGCACTCAAAGTGATATATATATATAGCCAATTAAATAATAGCCAAGTAAATATTTATATAATAAAACAATTGTATAAAAATTATTTAAAAAGTAAATTACAGTGATTATATAGAATATAAATTATAATTAATCAGTCAATAAATAAAGAATAACTATAATAATTTATCTTATATTCTGTGCTCATTTTCCACATTTTCAACTGATGACTTACCGACAGGAAGTCCCTGTAGACATAGTAATAAAGCCAATCATGTACTACAACATTCCATGTGCGGTAATAGTTAGCAAATGAAGTGGAGTTCCACCAGTCCTAGAGAAAAAGCACATTATTCAATGAACAATTGTATAATGGCAACATAATTTAGCATTAATCTTTTTTTTCAATAAAACAAATTTGATCATGTGGAACATGAAAAATAACACTGCAGTATAAAGCCTAAAAGATCGAAGGGTCTATATTTGTAAAAATTAAATACAGGGCACATTTTGGTGCTGTCTGTTACCTTATAAAACATTCTGTCTCCAAACCGTAGCATTTCAGCAAATGCATTAAGCCAGCAATGCAGAAAGGCAAAAAATGCCAAGAAAAGCACCAGCACTCCTATGGATATAGGACAACGCCATTACACAAACTGCATTTATTTGTGCACTTTTTTATTACATCTGTGTCTTCTTCAGTGTGTAGACTTCTTATCAGTATAAATGTATCTAAAGATGTGCTAAATTAAAAAGTGTCTGTCCTGTCGACATTCTACCTGGCAGTATAGAGTTGAAGACATACAACACCATGGCCCTCAGGTCAAAGAGCTGCATACTGATACTGCGGAACTGAGGGATACACAGCCGCACAAATATGTAATATGCATAAAACAAACAGCCGAGCACCTGGAATGACACAGAAAAAAAAAACATATTCAAGATCTCAACATAACATTTACCAAGTCTTGACATAAATGTTTATAAAAATCACAACTTAAACATGTACTCTTTTAAAGAGCCCACCTGCGAAAACGTTGTAGCCACATAACCCCACCGAATACATGGATTTCTACAAGGACAAAGTAACATAAGTGAAATCAAAACTGAATACATTTTTATTTATTACTTTTATACATGCTATTTCTATGAAAACAGATACCAATACACTGCTAAAACTTTTAGCTTAATATTAAATAAATAAATAAATGTGTGTGTGTGAAACATTTAATTTTTATACATATAAGTATATTTTCTTACCGTGGATAATTGTCTCTGTATATCAGGGTGGGTGCAAAGAGAAAGTAAATGTACTGGGTGAATTGAGGTACATCTAACGAATCTGAAAAAAAGAAAGACAAAATCAAATGTAAGTTTTTGTCATTTTACTTCTGTGAAGTTACTAACATCTAAGTAAGGATCTTACTTGCTTTGTTTCGTTCTAAGGATCGCACTCTTGGCACATTTTCCCTGATGAAAGAGTGAGCCTTCATTATCAGGCGCACCTGTTTAAAACAGACAATAGCAACAACTAGATTGAGCAGTGAAAGTAAACACTTTCAAATATTATTAGACTTCTAACTAGTATCAAATTCAAATAAACACATTAAAGCAGAAAACAAAGCATCCAATAATCAACAGTGATAAAAATCCTGTTGCTATGGTTACTCAGTACCTGTTCTAGAATAAGTATGAAGCATGAAGCAGGGGGAAGGCCGTTCTTCAGCACCACATATGTGGGCAGGAAACCCAAACACAGTCCCTGGTACAGCAGCAAGAGAGAACCGGCCAGCACTGTCCATAAGGCCCGATGGTTTGACGTGGGGTAAACACTAGCCCAGACACTGAGCAACACATACGGAACCACAAGCGTGGACAGGAACATACACATCCACGTGACAACCACTAGGGGGAACTGGCCAAACGCGTACACCAACAGATCAAACTCAAGCACCAGTCTAGAGAAAGCAAGGAATAAAGATTTTTGCAGCTTACACAATTTAGTAAATCTCCTTTTATTGTCTTACTTTACTCCAAGTAACACTGAAGGTACATGATAAACTAATGAGAAAACACTTTTGAATATTTTTGCATGTATTTTAGAGGGGGATTTGATGAAGTCGTCTGACACATTAATATTAATTAGCTTGTGCTGAAATTGCTAAATAATTTCCCTAGGCTATCCAATAACATTACATAAGAAACTAAAATGTTTACCATCAAATTATTACTAAAAATAAAATACATAAAATAATTTTAAAATAGTTAAGAGCATATTACTTTCTCAATTCTCAATACATTATATTTCAATCTGGTAAAATTATTAAGATTATAAAACGGATAGTTCCGGTCCTCGATTCTGATTGGCTGAGCCACATTCAAAGCTGTTGTAAATTACTCTACAAACATACACCTTTGTTTACGTTTGTCTGTTGCTTGTTAACCACTTTATTGCAACCACAACTGATTCTGAGGAACTACATTGCTTGGTGGAAGAATACGGTTTTTATTAATATCATTACACTTTATTTGCACTGTTTTATTTTGTGAAACCTTACTACGTATATGGAATAACCGTTTTATGAAAGCAATAAGCCCAGTGAAGCTGTGGTTTACAGTGAATTTATAACAGCTAAGGGGG